TGAATTATGGTGATATTTGGTTTTGAACTTAACAAGTACCAGATGGACAGCTTTGGGAACTCTGACCTGTTTGAAAGTAAAGCTTGATTTGAAAATTGCTTTGGCTTTCCACCAAGATATAAAATAGTAACTCGGCCAATTGTGTAAATTACTTATTATTTGATTTAAGGCGTTACCATGACATGATGATTACACACACTGATGACGCCGATGAGTTAGCCAGTGATGTAAAACTCATAGTAGGAAAACTTGGCGCCGATAAACTCACAAAGGTTGTTGGAATTTACCTTGAATACTTCCAAATTGAAGTGGCAAGAGTGCGTCGACCAACTGTATCTCAGGAGGCTTTCCTGTTTCGGGTCAAATTTGGTGTCCCCGATGCTTTATTATCTTAAACTATAGTAACGAGTTACAAAACCACAGGGGCAAGAAAAGGGCATGATTATTTCAAATGCGTGGCATCATTGAGCTTTGGAAATGGATGCTAAGGGAACTTAACCAATGTATGTTTGAATTAATTGAACGTTCGTCTCTCTTCACTATAACGCCGATGGCTCTACGGTGAGAATTGTAAATTCTACGCGACTTTCATTAGTAAAACAATATCTTTCTGTACATAAGTCTTAAAGATTTCTTGAATTTTCGTAACTACTCACCAAAGAAAGGTCTGAGATTTTCCCACTGTATCTTAAACAATCTCCTTCGCTAGGACAAGCTTGACTTCCGGATATCAGTGTTCGATTTCAATCATCAGCGCTCGAAGAATTATGAAGAAGTGTTCGTTCTTGCTCTCTACGATTCTTTTTTTTTTTTTTTCAGCTGCGTGCAAGATTACTATTAGTGCTTTGTTTGTGGTCGAGATGCGTGCAGATTCTTGAAATGACTTGCCCTATGCTCTAGTAGGTTTATAGATACTACTGTATAATGTTTATCATGTCACTCTGTCTTTGTAATAAGAGCCAAGAAGGTTAATTGTCTAACAGTTTTTGAATCTCCTACGTGCTCAAATTAGCTGATCCAAAATCGATTACAAAAGTGACGTTCCCTATTTTAATATCTTCTTTCAGACATCTTTTGTATCTAGTTTTAAAGCTCTGATGGACACAAACAATACTTAGATTAAGAATTGTCATTTATGTAACGCCCCCCTTAAGAAATTCAGTTTAAGTTTCACGAGTCGTGGAATTCAACTGATTACTAAACACCTTAAACATCATTTGTAAACTTGTCAATGATAGTATTTTGAAATAACAAAAAACAGGATACCAGACTGAAAGACTCTTGAGTTGTTATTTAAATTGATTCAACATAAATGACCTTCTTCTTGAACTATGGGTAGAAAGGGAAGAATACAAAACACTTATTGACTGAAAGATCGTGCTATAAATCTTGTGTTGCACGATGTCCTAGGAAAAACTGTTATTTCATGTCCACTATAGTTTCTTTGAGTTCATCTCTAAATAAATTTATGCAAGCCGCGTTCCCGTGTAAACAAGATGGTTTGTTGAAATATAGATGTTTCTAAGATGCCAAATCCAGTTACCAAATTAAATGGATTTTCAACCCTTCCTTAGGAGTCTGAGATTAATTAACACACATGATAATCTAGTGAAGTGGTAGGTTCTAGAGTAACAGATATGTCAGTAGTCTAAAGAAGATGTACATTAGATCTTTCCTATTACACGACCTATTGATTTCAAATCCTCCAAAGAGGATCACGCGAGAGAAACACAGGGGCTTCCTTGTTCGATTAGAGGTTGGACAGGGACTGGGGGAATTAAGTGCCGGTAGAGGGTGCAATTTTCTCGCTGTTGGATGTATGTGCAACATTTAAAGCTTTGAAATTTTGTGTGGCGTGGATGTTAGATATAGAATTTGCGTCACGATATAATAGGGGTCACTTTGTAGTAGGTCGTGATCAACGCCGGCTGCCAACGAGAAGTGCATGCCACATTAAAGGTGGAAATGCTGGTGAGCCATCGTGGCGCCATCGTTCTATCAATTTTTCTTACACGAAGGAAAGGCATTTAAAAAATTATCCCTCGTCATCTGTGAATAAGCTCTGAAAAAGAGCTGTTGGCGAACGTACCAGCTCTGTATTTGGTAGAGTTATAAGAGAGTTCTTGTATAAACTGCACTACTGCTGGGCAAATGCAGTTAAGCAGAAACCTCAATGTCAAGTTTATCTCTCGATTTGTTTGCTGCAGGTCAACTGGCTTTAAACGCAAAAATAACAAACAAAAGCTGCCGAGATGACACGATAACCTCACTCTTCAATTCTCACCAAAATATGTAAAACATTTGCCGAAGCCGGTAATAAAAATGTGGTCTTTCCGGCTTGTATTCAATCTCATTCACTTTTTCCTGTCGGTATTATTGGAGAACAGAGATAGATAGAAGTCATAAAAGGAGTAAGAAATAATTCTTGGAAAAAAGATAGACCCAGTGGCCATGGAATGATTTTTAATTTCCTTGAGTTTCTCTGGAATAAATGAATGTTCTCCTCAAAACATGGATATGCATCGCGAGACCTTTCAGAACTTATGGCGGTATTCGGGCGTCAAAGATGTTTTCAAGTTAAGCCATATGTACGGATAAACGCGTAACTTTCCTTGTTTTAAAGTTGTTTCAGGACAAAGAAAAACTTTAAGAAAAAAATTGTCCTCGCCCTGATTTCGGAATTGAACGTAAAATGTTTCTTTAGGCATGTAATCCCGTTTGCTTTTTCGTACCTTTCGACTTACCTTCACTCCTTCATTCAGTCTTTTAGTCTTTCTCTCTCTTTCTTTCCTCCTTCCTTTCTATAGTTTTTCTTTCTTTCCCTCTTTCCTTCAGTCTCTTTGTTTTCGTTTTTGCATGGTTAGCCTTCTTGAAGAGCTATTCATAATTTATTTGTCATTCAACTGAATATCAGAATTTACTCGCAATTTCATTGTTGACGGTTTTCTGTTAAGTTACCTCACTTGCCTCTTCGTAATTTCTACTTCAATGCTATGGCTGAACATATTGAAATGACTCCCTAAAGGTCATTAATTTATTTATAGCTAGAAGAGAACTTTCCCCTCCCCGGGATCCCGTTTTCACGTTAGGGTTTGTGTAATCTTGGGAGATCATAGCGCTGTCTTGTGGAGAACGTAGAGAGGTTATAATTATATATAAAGTGGCTGCAAAATGGCAACAGATTAATTTCCATCTTGGCCTCTCTAAAATCTTTTCTTAGCAACGACGATTATTCATTAAATATGGAAATCTAACCGCTACCGGCTTACAGGTGAAGTGTAAGTCCACGGTCTCTTCAAATCAGCAAAATCTTTCTTACCCCATGCAAATAAGCTTCACAAGTGCTGAATTAACGAAGAAAGGAGTTTTTGGATACATTTTGCTTAAGCCACTGATAAACGGCTCTTGCGTGGTTAGGTTAGCCGATTACTATTCACGAACACAGGTGTAAACTTTATCGACATGATTATCACCCTCAAAACAGCAACAACTGTACACAATTGGCACAAAAGTTTGAAAATGTATCAAGAGCAGACAGTGAAAGTGGAAACTGTTGAACGTTAGCGCTCTATAATTTAAGAGTAGTTATTTTATTTCTAACTGTGATGACAAGAATGTCAACAGCAATACTTTCATGGTGTTTTTATTTACTAAAGCAGGTGTTTAAACACTGCTGGGGTTTCAGACTCCTAAAGAAGATGAGTGAAAACTGTACTTTCACTCAAACAACGGTGTGTTAAGAGATTGTACTACTTTTTGCATCATTCTGACTTTGGGCGTTAACGACTTGAGCATATTTGAATAATCTTCTGGCCCATTTTCTGGCGTGTAAATCATAGACAAAGAAAGCTATCGTTGTCATAGGATCGTGCTAATTTGCATAACCAAATAAACTACTATTGAACTTCCTCGCGTGGGTTGTTGTGTTGTATTCTAGTGAACAAATATTGGTGTGGCACCTTGTACTTTTTCGCTTGCTGAAACCCCTTGCGTGAAGGAACTCTTTTTCGCGTCACCACTCGATATTTTTATGTTTTCTACCGGATATCGCTGAACGATAAGCCTGTTTTGATTCATCTTTGGGTCGCTAAATCCCTAAATACGATAATTATAGCACGACCTTTAACGCTCTTGCGGTTTCGGTCCAACCGGTAAGTATAAAAGTTCATTACATTTCAAAATATGAATACCGTCACGAATGATGATAACAAATAAGAAAATGTCTTTGCAACGTCTTTCTCGTTGATTTTAGAATTGTTACAGTGACATTTAAAGAAAGAACTTTGTCAGTTGTCATCATCTGAATGGCGATATAAAGTTTAAGCAGTTATTTCGATATGATGTTTTAGTTTATCGGTGTCAATAAATAATTATTTCCACGAGGACTTGTTAAGTTTTTACTTATTTCCTTAACCACATTGATACCTTTTGGTCCTTCTCAGGGAATACAAGTCTTTTGCAAACGCCTCAATTCGCCTCACAGCAAATAGATTTAAGCTGACCGAAGGGAATCTACTTAAAACCTTGACATAATGAAATACCCTAAAACTTATCCGGCCGAAAAGTTCGGCCTGAAAGTTAAAAAATAAAAGAAGAGTCAATTTTTGTCAGTGTATAATATTTTTACCGGTAAAGGGAAGTTTCTGAGTAGACATCTGGTGCCAACATTTACATAGTAATTTACATTTAGTTTTCAGCTCTGTGTTCAAATAAACGCAACCAGGTTAATTTCTGGCAGTTGTTATAATTGTTGTTTCGTTAACATTCAATGGCCCTTGAAGTTTAGCTCTCTGATTGGATGTTTAAAGAAACCTCAGTAAGTGTGATGTCCAGTGGGCAGTAGTCTGTGAACGGAGTTTATTTGAATTTGTCACTGGAGCATAAACTATGAACTTATTTGAATTTTAACGGAATAGCGCGCGAGTACACTAAGTCAGGGGGAAAAACGAATTTTGCCTCTCCGTGAGATGATTTAACACATTTTACGATTGAAATTTAAAAAAGGCTTACGCAAGATAGAGCGCATGACTGAAAAGCTGACTGACATTTAGAAATATTTTACAACGTCACAGCTGTTTGCTTTTCTTTTTATTGACGTGTCAAACTGACCTCGTCTTTCACGCAGGCAAGATGTCCGATGATAGCTACTCTCGCGAGATTTTACCCGAAGCTCGGGTCCTTAATGGTTACCACTCTGCTGGGTTTGATCAGGATGATTTTAACCCAGATAAAGGGGTCGTCAAGATTCCCAAAGAGAACGGAATAAGTAAGGTATGATTACATTAATAACGGACATATCATCTCAAAGCTGGACAGTTTTAAGCGCAATATGCACATCAAACTAAAATAAAACGTTACGCCAAAGAGGCTATAGATAGAGATTTGAAAGGAGCACACGGTGCTTCGACCCACGTCGCAAAGGAATGTGACTTTAGGTCATCGTCCATCGAAAAAATATATTTTGATCAATTGTTAACTTTGTTCAGCCGTCTGATAGTGAACAAAGGCTTGTGCGTTTCTAATTCAGCGGAATTGACCTGCAACCCAGCTCTTTATCACGTTTCACACGCCAAAGAAAATGAACGTATTTTTAGTAACTATAATAGCTTGGTCTACGAATAGAGTATCGCTATAACAACTACTTGAATAGTAGATTTTTCATGATATTATTTGAACACCTCTCTTAATATCATTGACAATGAAGTGCTACCTCGCATAAGATCGACTTTCCTTTTTATCTATTTGCTCAAAAATCAGTACATAGTTTATTTTAAGTTATCAGTGTTTACTTTTCAATCTAAATCGAGATTCCTAACAAGTCATGATCAGCATGAACACCACAATCTATATTTTGACAACAAAGTAAAGTTAACTTATTGCAAGGGATTAAGTTCATTTCAGTTTAACCTGTCGAGTGCGTATGTCCTAGTTCGATCTTCCGTACCACAGCTTTCAAGTTTGCCGCTATCTTTATTTTTCTTTCGTCAAACAAATTCAAATTTCATAACTTTCTTTCAAGCGTAACCCCTTGTGACATCGAAAACAAAGGAAAACAACACATAAAAGCTTGGCGTTCAATGATTTACATATCGCGCGAAGATATGCATAACGGTTTCTTGTCCTGATGAAACGAATTATTGAACCTTGAAATTTCAGTGTTCTTCAGGTAATAATTTTTTTCAACCCTTTTTAAAGAAAACAAGACTTGCATATTTCTAAAGGTGAGTGAAAATTTGAAGAGGTGAGCTCTGGGAAAACACTTGACATGTTTTTAGACGCCTGTTCAGCACTTTTATTATTTTTTGTTAATGCATGTCTAGATTTGAAACTTTTGAGCGAACCGCTCTGGTGTCCAACGTTTTTGAGATCTGTTTTCACTTTGCCTGGCAACACTTTAAATCGATCAGTGGTTATTGATGGCGGCGGAGAAAAGCAATTCCTTTAGCCTCCAAAAAGATTCTCAAAGGTCTTTTTTCCAAACTTGTCGGTTATCTCACTACTACTGTGCAGAAATGAGTAATGAGCAGTTAAGATTCCAGAAGCTTAGCTAAAGCTTGTTTTACAATCTAGTCTATGCAAGCGGGCGTTATCACGGAAAACTCAAAAAGAACTTCTGTTATGCTTAAAACTCAGCCATTGCCTTTTCTTGATACTTTTCACATAAGGGACAATATCAGGAGAAATCTTGTTCACTGACATTTCCGAAAGTTGTGTGACAAAGTAATTAACTTGAGTGAATGTCGTTTTGACGTCTCTCACGCTCGACTGTAGATTTTTGTAAAAATTTTTGTTGTTTGGTAGCTATGTCATGGAGAAAAAACATGCTGCTTACTTTCAGATATCCGTTGATATTCGCTCATATAAGGTGCTTAAGTTCTCGCGCGTGGTATCTCGCGTGGAGAACGTTACCTCGCAGGCAGACATAACTATAATAGTGATATCGAGCTAATCTCCTGCTGCTCTTTTTAGAGAAAAAAATGAATTGAAATTAGTGGAACCTAAGGGCGAGCTCAGAAACCTCACAGTTCCTCTAGTAATTTTGAAACTATGTTTTGAAAAATTCCCTGTTGATTATAACTAACATTGTTCTTCTTTCACAGTGATACCTCTTTATGTGAGCAATAAAAGATTTGCTATTATTTGCTGTTGGAAGATTACAAAATGTACTCTTCATTAATTGGTATTGAGGTTTCTATGCCCTTTTAACGGGAAATATTGCGTAAACCGACACTCACTTCTTCGCTCTTGTTTTAGGAATATTCAATAGGGTTCAGCGAGGACATCATGAGGTGTGTACAGTTTGTGCATGTTACGTGACGTATGCAATTATTAAGACAGTTGTGGATTTTCTTTTTACGTTATGGTTTTGCCGCACAGCACGATGTTTATGAGCAGAATAGTTTCTGCTTTCATTATTATTCACATAGAAGGTAGATCTTAAAGACCTGTCAGTTCGACTGACTTAATGGTAACTTCAACTGTAATTTCAGTTCCCCAACGCATTACCAGAACGGAAATAGTGCGAAGGAGCAATTGATAGAAGCAATAAAAAACCGAGACAATGCAGAACGAGAAATCAAAGCGCTAAAGATGCAGCTCAACATGGCAGAAGAGACTCGTGACAGCGTGCGGAGGGACCTCATGGATGCGCACAGGAAAATGCGGGAGTGCGAAGAAGCAAAAGAGTCTCAAAGAAAGGAAAACTTGGCGCTCAGAAGACAAATCAAAGACGAAGAAATTGAAAAGAATGCATTTCAAAAGACCTGTGAAGAGCTGCGAGAGAAAGTAAAACAGACTGAAAGCGAGCGGGCTGAGACTAAACGTGCTCTAGACGAACTCGAGAACAAATTTAGAGTGTGCGACGATAGTCGTACGAGCCTCACCGGGGAGGCGAACGATCTTCGTAGCCGAGTGAACGAGTTCGAGGCGGAGCGCGCCGAGACTAGGCGAGAACTGCAAGAGGCATTGCGTCAAGTAAAGATTCTCAGCAGCGAGTGTCTGATGGGGAAGAGAGAAGCTTCAGATCTTCAAGAGAGGCTGGCACATGAGGAATCTTTACGCGAAGAGTTACGACATGAGGCGTATAACTTAAAACAAAGTATACTGCAAGTGGAGAGCGAGAAGGAGGAGGCAAAACAGAATGGGGCGAAACTACAAAGAAGGTAAGGAAAGAAACTTGTACATACTTACTTAAGGTTTTTTAGCTTTTGCATGCACAGCCAAAAGTTCTGTCAACTAAGACTTTCAAGGCTTCCTCTGTCACTTTAATCTAGTTGCAAATCCTTCTCAGACTACAAACCATCACTGTACCTAATCCCATTTAAGTTCCCTTCTATCATATTTACACCTCACAGTAAATTTTGACCGGAACTGAAACCTGTACCACTTTATAGAGTGTAACTCAGCTTTTACGATGTAGCCGTCACGCTCTCAAACTTCGAAGTATCTCAGAGTCCCTTGCTTAACTGATAAATTTTGCCTGGTATTAAAGGATCAAAGAAGCAGAGGACACCTTTGCGAGTCGAGAGAAAGATTACCAAGCTCAGATAGAGGAGTTCAAACAGTTTGAGCAGAAAGCCAGAAGTAAAATGAGAGAAATGGAGAATCTTCTCGAACAAACGACATTTGACCGGGAAAATTACAAAGCTCAGCTGTCTGGAAATGATGGAAGAATTAGCGCTCTGGAATCTCAACTTTCTCGAGTTGAAGCTTCCAAAAATGAATTAGAATTTAAGCTTTCAAGTCTTTACTCAATACTTCGAAGATCACTTGGCTTACGATCCCAGTCCCGACCTACCTCGCCAACCGAGGGTAGTCCGAAGAAGAACCAAAGATCATACCGAGGGCGACCAAGATCGGGCTCAGGTATGTCTAGTTTGAAGCTCAAACAGGTGGTTTTCTTCTTGTTTAGGTTAAGATATTTCAAAGAGGATCGGGGACCTTTAGGCATATATATGTCATATCGCCTCGCCTGGGTTGAAGAAGCTGTGGGGGTTTCACACACACATACATTGCAATGAAGTGACTGATGACAAGAACTGTTGAACCTGTCAGTTTTATTGTTGAGACAGAACATTATCAAGACGAAGAATTCAGCTGAAGCCTTAGCATCTGAGCTACCTAACTCAGCTCAATAAATGCCTCATTCGTGACACTGAAAGCACAAATCCAAGATTCTGCTCCATAACACTGACACTGTTTTGTTCCCTTTGATAGATGACTCATCGGATGACATTGATCCAGACGCTGTGAAATCGTCCTTAAGTGAGCTGCTACAGAACCTGAAAGACGCCGAGAGAAAGAAAGAGGAGAGTTCAGTGAAAGTGGACAGTTTGCAGAATTCTGTGGCTAAGTTGGAGGAAGAAAGAGCGGCTCTGGACGGAAAACTGCGAGCTGTTCATCAGGAAATGAACGAATTGAGAGAACAGAAAAGACTACTGGAAGAAAGATTGAACAGCTCAGAGACCGCACTTACGTTGCAGGTGAGGTGAATACTTTTTTCGGTGTCAGGTGTAAGAAAAGTTTGAATAAGTCACACAGGTACACATTACGCACTAGGAAAAAGAACGTTTCTACAAATTGGTAAAGGATTAGTTGGCCGCACGGTTCACGTTTAGTACCTCAGGGCTGGTTTATTGTACTGTTTTCTTGGGGGAGACACTTTATCACCACGGTGCTTCTCTCCCCCTGGGCGTGTAAATGGGCACCAATAATTCACCAGTGTGCGTGTGGGTGGGGGGAGGGACTTGCAAGGGGATAACTTTCTATAATAGCATGCTCTAGGTCTGAACGCCTTGGAAACTGAGGTGGTAAACTACCTTTTAGAGACTTAAATTTTACCATCGTTGAAAATTTAGCACCTCCTTGAAGAACAATGAAACTGCGGTTAGCTAAGGCAAAAAGTCTAGAGATTGCTGCTTTTCTGTTTTCAGGAGGAGGCAATTCAAAAGGTTGAGCGAGAACGAAATGGCATGAATGAAAAATTGCAAATGTTGGAAGGTACATTGGGCCTGTCGGAAAGCGAGAGGAAGCAGCAACAAGAGAAGATTAGAGAGCTTCAGGAAACAGAGAAAAGACTGAAAAGCGAAAAGCACACATTGAGGGCCCAAATGGAATCTTCATCCGGAGAACTAACGAAGAACGAGTTAAAGCTGAAAGCCTTGGATGGCGAATTGCAAAGGCAGAAGCGTGTTCAACAAGATGCGGAGGCTGAAAATAGAGAACTACGTGAAAGGTTGAGTGCTGCTTTAAAAGCAAATCAAGAATTGGAAAGCAATGTGTCCAGTTTAAACCTTGCAATTCAGAAACTAAACAGTGCTGTTTCCAAAGGGGAAGAAGAGGAGACGCGGCTAAAAGAAAAGGTACAGGCTTTGTCGGTTTCTCTGAGTGAAAGCAATTGCAGCTCACAAAACTTACAAGACCACATTGCTCAACTTCAGCGGTCTCTTGAAAGCTCAGAAGGCGACAAGCGTTTGCAACACGAGAGAGTGGTAGCACTTCGCGAAACGGTGAAAGATTGCAAGAATGAAAACCGTGTGTTGGCTGAAAAAGTCAGTTTCTTGGAGAAAACCAGAGAGGAGGCTGAACTGCGGATAAATGACTTCGAAAATCAAGTAAAGCACGTAAAAGGTCTCCTGATGCAGCGTCAACAGCATGAAGATGAACTTCTCGTTAAACTGCAAGACCTGGAGAGTGAAACTCATGCTCTCAAAAGCGAGAACTCTTCTCTACATAAAACAAATTCTTCCTTCGAGGCTGAGAAGAAAGATCTGGAAAAAAGCAACCTGCGAATTGGCAAAGACGTCCATGCTCTTAAAAAGACGCTTGATAGGCTCCAGAGAGAAAGATTGGAGTTTGAAGAATCCTTCTTCGAGTCGAATCAAGAGAAAGAAGCTCTCAACAGAACGCTGAGTGAGGCGGCAAAGGAAAACCTAGAGTTAAAAGAAAGAGTAGAGTCATTAGAAAAGGAGCTTCAACTGGTCCAAGTCAAACACACGGAAAGGTAATAGGTCTTCTTTAACAAGTTAGTCTGTCCTTCAGTGAGTAAACTAAGAGGTGGAGAGTCTCTCAGTAAAGTAGTCAGCCTGATGCATTTCAGTAGTCAGTTATCGACAGCCGTCAAACAGCAATTCAGCACAATTTTCAGTCTGCTAGCAAGCCAGTTACACAGTGACTTATTACAATTGTCGGTTCATCAGTCAGACGGCCAGTCATACAGTGACTCAATGCATTTGTCAGTCAGTCAGTCCGCCAGTCATACGGCGACTCAGCACAATTGTCAGTCTGTTGGACAGCCAGTCAGTCGGTGTGTCAGTCAGTCGGTCAGTGATCTGTTCCAATGACAATTAATTGCAATTGGAAGTCATTCTTTAAACACTTCTTCCGTCCGTTTTTCTTTTCTGTCTATAGCTTACTAGAAATAACAGAGAAACAGCAACAAGAATTGGAGAAAGAGGCGAAAAGATCACATTTGACGCTGGAAAAAACACAGAAGACTTCCGAGAAGCGAGAAAGATCGTACAAGGCAAAGCTGGAGGCTTTGGAGAAGCAGGTAATTATTTGGAAAGTTTCAACCTGACCGTATGTATAGTCTTTTAATTAATTTGTTTGATATCCTGACGTCACATGACCCTTCACTGTGGGAGTTGATATACATCGTACGAACTGGATTAGGAGACTCCATCTCTGTTCCCTTATTTGTCTCTAGATCTCAGCAATGTTTTTCGCTATAAAACAGTGAAATCAATTAGGCTTTTTAATTTATGTTCTAGGTTACTTTCCTCCAAACTGAACTCCACAATGAACGAGAGCAGAAAATGGTGCAAAGTAACAAAGCTGCCATAAAAAGCGATGAAATACGAGAGGTTCGGCAGTCTTTAGGCAAATCACTCCAAGCAGTCGAAGAGGACGCGAACAACCTTCGCAGTATGCTAGGAAAATCTCTTCGTAAAATCGACCGTTACACCGAAGCTATCCGACGAAACGAACCACCTCTACCATCCACTGACACAGAGGGATCAACCGTAGATACGTTTCCCCGTCAACAAATCGATCAATCATCGGAAGAGGCGAAGTATCCCCGATCATCGAAGAGAGGAACGAGGTCGGCCTCACATACGAACTCTAGGGAACGAAGCAAATCTCATGGACTGCCATCCTCTACTCGTGCCCCATCTTCGGGTGTTATTATGAGCAACTCTAGAAACGATTACGAAGGTGTGGCGTTAGAATTATCTCCCGAAATTCACTCCCCGCTTAGGCGGTATAGAAGAGATAGGAAATCTGTCAATTAATATCAAAGGTGTGTGAATCTTGCTACAATGTGTTAAATGGACCGTTGCGTGCAACCGTTTGAGAGAAAAAGAAAAGAATGAATTGTTTAAGAAATGCTTAAATCAATGCAAATCGTGATAATTTCGTCTTGTAAAGGAAGCCAGAGGTAATTTTAATAATGTGTATAATTTAAATTCGCACGAGTCGAAATCAAATATCTGTAAACTGCGTGATTGCCGACGCATTCTCAATTAAATAACATTCCAACTGAATTTATCTCAGTTTGTCAACACTTATGGTACAAAAGATTTCATATTCGTCGTAAGAGAGAGTTTCGATCTATCTATAAGAGAAAATTATACGTGTACTTAGGATAACACCAGAAGAATGCACAATTTGTAATAATACACTTTAAACTTCCGTCCATAATCATATTTTGTGGTGTTCGTACCTACGGTGCGTTTTTTTTTCAATGAAACGTGTCCTCTCTGATTGCTTTGCAACTTTCAACGATAGTTTTGTTCCAGAATTGATAGAGGTTACCCTGTGTTGATCCAGCTGAGTTTGTTGTAGCGTGCATTTAGATTAAACCGATCTCCTCACAGTATCAGCTGATTTTCGAAGCAGCAAATATCTTCAAGGACTATTCCAGTGTACTTTAGTTGACCGAAGCTAGGGTGGGAGGAAACAGATTTATCACTGGGGGTCTTCCCAGTCGAGATCCCCGGCCCGAAAGGATCGGCCATGTTAGTGTTAGGAATTTTACCACTGAAGCCATAGAGAAGGTTGACGGAAGGGGTACTTTGATGAAAGGAGATGCTATGGCGGACAGCGGCCGAAAGGGTGCGTGGTCATTAGCAAATGCTTTAGGGATGTGAAACGTCTTATTGAAATCAA